TCTCCTTCCGCAGACGTAACAGATACTTTAGTATTGTCGCTCCATTCTCATGGACTATAACAGACATGCTTGTGAAATTAGTGTGAAACAGAATTGAACTTAAAATATCTGTTCTTTGTTCGTCTTTTGCATTTTACTTCAGCACTCAGCATACTAATATTTGATTAATTGAATCAACTAAATGCGTAGATGAGAACAACAAGTTAAGATCTCTGAGGAGCAGTACATAAAAGTATACTATTTAGTATTCGTAGCTATTGCTATTTCGAATGAGAATATACTCCAATAAGCTTGTAGCAAATTTTTCTCATGTCTATTGATTGAATTATTGATGTACATCATCGAAAATGATAATTCATCAACTTCCAATGACAAATTTACATTTATTATGAATGAAAGAGTTTAATGTTTATCAAATGATTTTGTTTTACTTGATATCGTGTACTATTAAGTTAACCTTGTTATTTAATTTTGAATTGCTGTAATATAATGTCATCAGTCATTTTTGAGCTTGAATAAGAAAACAAATATTCTCTTTCACATTTTCTATTATGAAATATATTTGAGACATTTGAGATGTAAATATACACAATCACTCTAGTGATATGATATGCGTTAGTTCTATCTTAGATTTCAGCATATATCAAGAGCATGACGAATGAATACGATTGATTTACAACACAAAAAAAAAGAAGAAAAAAACCAGTTGACAACTCCTATTCTCTCTCGACTCCACATCACGTAACAGACGATTTCTAACATTAAATAAAACATGCCGATTTCAAGTGGTTTCTCACAAGATCCAAATATAAATTATTATGTAAGAAACATTGATTACTATGTTAACTTGAAATTTATTTTGATTTATACAGGTTCGTAGGCCTGGTAAAACAGAGCTTTTAGACGAAGCAATTTATTACAAGCGTGATGAACCTTTTGAACGACCTGTTGAGGTATTTTTTAGGGTTTTTATTTAAATTCTTTTATCAGCTTTTCTTTGAGATTGTCAATCGGCCAGTTATCAAGGAGACAGTTTTTATGCCAGATCGCAAACCACCTCCCTTAGCTTCTACACGAGACATGTATGCAGTAAGTAATTATAATAATATGAATTTATAAAAGAACATAGCTATAGGTCTCTCCTGAACCGAGACCAACGATATATACAACAACATCAAATGCTGCTCCGTCTACTTCATTCAATCTCATTCGAGCTTTAGGATTGAATGCTGATTGTCCATGTTGGGCATGGTTATGTATTGTTTTTAGCTTTATCCTATTACTTGGTCTTATTGGCATGTGTTTATATTTTATTCTTGGTATGTTTCTCCTTTCATTTTAATTGGAAACCAAAAGAAAACAATTTTCTATTTTTATTATAGAACGCGAAGGATATATCTAATCAATCCTACTCATTCTTATCGATATACTTTAATATCTTCGTATTTATGTATTGTTAATGTGAATTGTTTGTCATTATCAATCATATATTAAAAAATAGTGTTTACTATTTAGATTTATACATTATACATATGACAGTTTATTCTAAAGCATATAAATCGAAGCAAACAATGAAACTTTTTATTTGAATCGAAACTAAAACCTATCAATTAGAGTTAATTTTTTTTCTAATGAATACCTATTTGATGCTGCAAGTTTACAAAAAATAATTTCGTGCCGACGAATAAATTGTTTGTTGAAATGAATCTGTTTTACAAGATGTTTAATTTTATTAGCATCATCTTCATGAATGTATGTTTGATAGAGTGTTTCATAAGTCTTGAGACTTGACAAAAGAACTTATATACAGCTAGAGAATAACGCCTAACCGAATGTTTTCATATGAGCCTTGAGTACTCGTGCCAATCTTTCAAATGACATATTATTGAATAAAATCTTCTCTTGTAATAATAAAAATATAAACATGAGAATGAAAGGACAAATTTTACGCAATCCATCTACAAGATGTGTTATTACAAAAAAACATTATTTTATAAATACGCATACTAATCTAAATATTAATTTGCCAAGTCTCTCGGAAATTGTATTAATCATTTTTTTTCATTGTTTGCTCAATCTGGTTTTTATTTGTTTAAAGCTTGAAAATTTTTCTTATCATACTTTTTTCTTTACTATTTTCTATATATTTTCAGGAAGTCATACGTTAGCAAATTTAGCGTTATCTTCTCGAGATAAAAACTTAATTTATTCAATAATTCATCAATAGTCTAAAATGCAATCATTGTTCTTTGTATTTTGTTCCTGAGCGTGACATTTTCATACATTTTATCCATTTCAATTTGATCATTGAACGCATAGATTCATTGGACATTGAACCAGTGGATTCCAATGGGCATCGAATAAACGTTGAAGATAGATAATTATTGGTTTCTACTACACTAAAAAACATTCAGTAAGAGGTTATTCTCTGTCTGAATATAAGCTAATTTTGTTACGTCTCAAAACTTACGAAGCATCTTATAGCATGAAAGAAAAAGTGGAAAGTCATATAAATGATGACCATAACAGGAAAAATTCATAGAATAACATGAAACTAAAACGAGCAGAATGAAAGGAGAAATCAAATACATAAGCCTATCCATAGTGAGTATGACAACAAGAGAAGCGTATCATGACAGGTACAAATCTTGTGACAGTATCCAAGTAGATGCAGGACATAGCAGAACTGACTCTATACAAAGCTTGTTGTTTTGGCAATGATTATTTCTTTCAAACTGAATTTTTCGGTTGATACAATTTGCAATGAATAATAGTTCTTCAGTCGTTTTACTAAGATCTCATACTTTTTTTTTGCTGACCTCTATTGATTTATGTAGGTTATTGCTCCTGTGGTTTCATAGAAATACATATAGTATTTTAACATCTGGGAATCTCTTTGAACGTATTATGGAAATTATTCTTTTAAGTTACATACGGTATTATGTCTGAAGAATTTATTGTCATTGCTGAACGAATTAGTCTGACACATATTTTCAACCAAGCAAACTGCGCGATTATCTGTAGTGAGAGACGGTCGAGAAAAGAAATCTGAGAGAAATACAGTTTTCTATGTTTTCACAGTACTTAGTTACATCTGTTTTCGATCTATATCTTCTTCAATTCTGAAATACACATCGAAAAACATAAAAATGTAAAAACATGTTGTTACATAATTCAAATTTCAGTGGCATTCACTTAAGAAATTATAATTTCCTTTGTCATTTCATTCGTCACAGTTGAGAATATACCAACTCTGAAAGTTTTATGCAAATGAGAAAGTTTTGTTGCACAGATATAGTTAACTCTTTCGCAGAACAAAACATTCGCTCTGTCAAATCAATACGAAGTCACGTCGCAAAACATTTTTTAGAAAAATTTTTAGTTAATAGGTTATTATAATATTGTTAATCGCGTTGGAATTATCGAAAGGATTTGAAATATGAACTGCAACCATGCTTCACAACTTTATATTAAACCAAAAACTCAAAGACTAGGAGAAATGTGCATAGATGACATCATTATCCTTATGTAATAATTATTGTATCTGTTGCATTGATATAACATTGATAATAGATATAGAAGCGCTTCTTCTTTTTGTTAAAACAAAATCGAACCGCGCACTATTCGACTTTTTGAAAAATTTAAACCGAACCGATTTTAAGTTCTTGCTTATTTGTTACGTGACATAGCAAGATGACGAGAATTATCGTTATCATACAGCACAGCATGCACATTAAGTTGATTGAGTGGTTATTATTTTATGGTCTTTGGTAGTATTTCTTTAAGGAGAATGATCTATAAACAGGCAGTGCAGAACAAATTAAGTATTAATAATATTGATTGTCATTAAGTCATGACACGTTTGTCGCGTATACGACAACCTAGAACGAACTCATCCCGTCGACATCAGATCGGTCCGATCGGATATCGTCGATGGGATTGGATGATATTGAAGTGATTGGTTTTGATATATGGGTAATACTTTTTCTGACGAAACGAAACTGTTTTCACTTAAGATAAATAAAATCTATCTAATTTGAATAAAGAAAAAAATTAAGCTTTGCTAAAGTAGATTAATATGTAATTAGAATATTATGACAATGTGAACATTCTATTGAACTAGTCGAGTTAGACACAATAGGAATTAATACAAAAAGATGCGCTCATTTTTATTCATTTCTTGTTTTTGTGAAACTCACATATATTTTCGAAGAAAATAGTGAGTGCAAATCTTAAGATCACCTTTTTGCGGATTACCCAATCTTCCCTTCCTCCTCCCCATTGAAGACACTTAGCAACGGAAGCCCTCATTATAGTCCTTAGCACTCAAGGATAATATGCGTCAGATTTTCTATTCTTTTTTGCAAAATTGATCAAGTTATAATTTTGAAAAATAATGAATATCCTTATTTGTGAGTTGATTAATATATACGATAGTACGTAAGATCTGCTGTAGATATCATGAATATCTAAAACAGACTTATTTGTCAATTATTTCCATGATTATAATAATAAGAATGTTAAATTAAGAAAGACGAATTAAAAAAAAATGAAAAATAATGAGCGGATAAAAACAATGCAAACAACAAATAGGGCACCCGTAGAAAAAGATTAAAAGAATTCTGTTTGAAATGCAGAAATTAGAGAGATTCTTACTCTAGTGATTGATTATCCTGCAAAACAATTTTGGTCTACAAAAGATTTTTCACTTTACTTTTTTTGTATTAGTTTAATGAACCTAAAGAGCATATGTGAGTTTCATATTTCAGCCCCAAAGGGACTGCGTCAAGAAGCTTTTGTTATTTAGACTTATTTTTTGAACTTTAATTTAGTAAATTAGTAGGTTCTAATAAAGATGTTATCATTCATTTTATATTCTTTATCTAGAGTTCTAATACCCCAGATTGTAAAAGTCATGAGTGACTCGAAAACAATGATAAATGGCTAACATTCCGATGATCGTTTACGTTCCAGCAAAAACAATCTTTATTCCAATCACTGATTTTACCTCATTTTTGAGATATTTTTACAAAGAATCAAAAAATGTATCTCATAAATATCATTAGAAATTTTTTTGATGACATTTGATAGATTTCTTAAACTTTGCTGTTTTGTTAATAGGAGACTCCAATTAATTTTTTTAAGCCGGTTTTAGTATCGATAGATAGATTTTGTTGAGATCTATGCAACAATATGGCATGCACTCTATCAAAATGTTTCTATCTCTTGTCACACAATGATTGACATGATATTAATAATAAGTTATCGAGTAAATGTATACATCTTCGCATATGCTTCCTTCATAATTTTTTTCAACAGTAAGTTTTATAGATGATACAAATGCGTTCTTTTGTCTTCTAGATTCTTCGTAAAAAGTTTACTAAAATTTCATTGATGTTGCTCACAGCATATTGAAAAAGTAGCTAGTAAACTTTATAGAACGGCAAAAAATGACTGTTGTGAGTTACTTGATAGAAAATACATCCATAGATATGATTATTGTGTTTGTATGACCTTCTTTTTCATATATCTACATTTAATATAGCTTGTGATGATAAATCCGTATGAAGAAAAGATAAATGTGTAATAGAATGCTTCATATAATAATAGAAAGTATAAGTAGAATGCTACCAAGGGCACGATTCGAGTAATGAAAATGAGCCATATATGACAGAAAGTAGTGTAAATATAACAGTGGAGGATCAAAATAAGGTCTTAATACTGCCCATTGGCTTTTGATTGAAACGATCCTAAACAGTACCGTTTCAGATGATCTGAATGATTGACGCTTATGTAAGTGTCAATTCTATGGTAAATTTGTATGTTATCTATCTTTTGACTTATATCATTATTGAATGCTTGAATATAATGGTAAGATAAAATAAATATTTTTTATCTAATTAGAATCGTTATATAGCTTTATTATTTAGCTTTTACAAATTAATAGTTAGTACAAACAAATTAGTTTTATTTTATGCTTTGTATATTGTTTCTTGACATGCGTTATTCTACAGAAAATATAATGACAAGTTCAAATAAAGTATTTTTTATATGTTGTTTTCCAATCTATTTTTTTAATACTGAAAAATCGACATTTTTGAATTTCAATCGGAAATAAAATTTGATGTATTTTAATGGCTTAAAATGCTTAAAAGAAGTTAATACATTCAAATGTATTGACTTCAATAAATATTTTCAGTCATTGAAGTGCATCAAATTTTTAATACATTGGAAAATATTTGAAAAGTAATGTATGTAATTATATTATGATACAACTTATATCATTAATGCGTTCTCTATTTTAATTCATTGCAATCCATGAATATATCAACGCACTGTAATTCGTGAAATAGATTGTATTATCACGTAAATGCGTCCATTATTTTTCTATGATAAAACAATCCATTATAGTGTCAATTATTTCAAAAATTACCTACACTGGATGAACCAAAAGCATCCAGGTTCTAATGTGCGCTGCACAGTATATAAAATAGTCCTGTGTTGATCATAGCATACAATTATTCGACCGTTTTCGAGTAAATTATTCGATATACCAGATATCTTCTGGTTGACAGTATTTTAGCGATTGTGCCAAACGGTATGACGTTTGCAACCATCAATCATGAAATATATGAGTATGTACTATTAGTCTGGCATCCCACCAAGCATTTCAGAAAAAACAGGAAAAAAGAGGATAATTAGTTTCAAGAAAACGAGGATTTTGAATGAAAAAAGAGGAGTTTTTTTTCAGCCTTCAACCCTACAAGAAATATTCGTGCTGAAGCAAAAATGACGTGCAGTCGACAACCTATCGGTTCTATTTAATGTCTACTTAGAAAGATGCATTTTGTCAAAGAACTCTTTAGTAGTTCACATATAGTTTTATTTCATTTCATATGTACATGATACAAAACAAGAAAATCACAAAAAATGGCACCAAAAGAAAAGTTTCAAAACCATAAATTACTAAATTAATCTTATTAAATTTAAACAAATAAAAATATTTCTTTTAAAACTGATCATTCGCTGTTGTTGTCATGTTTTGTTTTTTCTTTTGTACATGAGAAAGAACATTTTTTCTTTTACTTTGAATTTTTAATAATTCGTGGGTTATTTTGAAAAGTTCATCTGAGATTAATTTAACTTGTTCATCACCAGCTCCAATTAATGCATTTGCGGCTTGTGCATCAATAATATCAGCTTTTTTCAAAGCATTATCAAGTCGTTGTCGACCTTCACCCACCAACAATTGTGCTTTCTTTTGTTCATCTTGTAAACCCTTTTGCCTCGACAACAACTGATTTTCTCGATCAATTAATTTTTTCATTTCTTCATTTGTATGTTCATGTTTTTCACTTTGTTCTTTCTCACGATCAGCAAGAGATTTCAATGATAATTGTTCTTGATTATAAACCGATTTCGATTTTTGTACAGCACGAACCATATCAATCTTGATGGGTACTCGATGTGGTGAACCTACACCATAAAATTTTATTGCATCCCATGTTGAACGAAGACCATTAATAGAAGATAAGGACAATAATGTTCTGTTTTCTGTAACAATATGTTCATTAATACTGAAACCACGCTGAGCGTCCGAATTTCCATGTGATATAATGAGAATATTTTTAACGATTTTAGATAATGTTGGATACTTCGGTAATCCAAAGCTAGTCGTCAATGATAATACCTTGTTCCAATAATAATCAATTTGTTGATATTCTGTATGATTATTACCATCTGAATCGTGATATTTATTTTTAATATACCAAGATTGATCAATAGTTTCAGCTGCATACATCATAAATTCATGACGAATACGATTTATTTCAGCATTACTTAATAATTTTGGTATTGCTCTTCCAACACGAATCATTGTATCAGCTGAATCTTCTTTTGTTCTCGATGCAGGATCAAGTACATGTAAATCTTTTAAAAATGTATTCTTCAATGGAAGATGTTTTTTCAAGTTGTCAGCAATTGCATGATATATCATTTTGACGTCATGAAAAAATGTCGCACGATCTGATGCTGATACGTCCACTAAAAGTCGACGTGCTTCCTCTCCTAAAGTAAAGAAAACGAAGAAATATGAAGATAACATCTTGGATTGTTAGATTTTTCTTTTATGCAGTAATCTTATTGAAGTCTGATGAGTGTCAACCTACCAATCTGTAACTTTTTTGTTGGCAGTTGTTTTTCAGCTAATTTGAAATCGATATCTAAGAGAGCACCGCCGTATGTTGATCCAACATGTTCAGGTGATAGAAAAGATAATAAAACAGTACGATATAAATCACATAATTCATCATAAAGCAAATGAACAAGTGGTCCTTCTTTCTGAAATCACGTCAAAAATCGATCAAAGATTGATTGACATAAAAATAAAATAAAATTTAATCGAATTTTTGATATGTTCGACATTAATACTTCTTTAATATTATCATAACGAGAATTGTTTTGTATTTGTTTCTGTTGTTTTGATGGTAAATAAACGAGAAAATATTCACGAAACACATGATATTGCTCTAAAGAGAGCAAAACATTGGAAGGAGAGATGTGTAGTGTTTTATTACTTGCTAAGAACTCGATCAATTACTTTTCCGAGTAAAACCCATCGTGTACTTGAGAAATATAAAATTGTTTTTTCGATGGATTCATTTAATTCATCTACAATATTCTCAAAATCTTCTTGTCGAGCAGGTGATTTCTGAAACCACGACCAAATATTCATGCAGAAGTTCTCAACGTGCCAGTTCGTTTCAGTTGTCCCTTAAAAGTAACGCACACGGTTAAACATAGTTTTATTTTAGTGACACTATCTATACCTGCTTTAAATCCATTATGAATAACATGTAAATTACAAGTACCAATGTTTAATAGTTCAGCATTAACTTTTGTCATAGCATCATTGATCATTTTTTCAACTGTTTTATTGACATTTGGATTATCTCGACTGAGCATTAACAACTTGCTGATATCGATACCATCAGTGCGAAAAGCACCTAAAATACCATCAACAACAACATTTACTTGAGCATGACCTAATAAAATTGTACGATAATATCTGGTAACAACAAGTCCTTTTTGTGAACTCCAATATCGAAAATATACATCAAGTTGTTTCTTGTTTTGATTATTTGTTCGTTCATCGAAACAAAGAACAAATCGTTCACAATTTTTAATATCTTTAATTAATAGATCACGAAAATACGGCCCAAGACCATGTGAAATAACATAAGACATTTTTGAATGTTGAATCGAAAATTTCTGAGCAATTTTTGAGTCCGGAAACATTGTACGAAGTAATTCACCGACGTCATCAGAATCTTTGTAACTAAATGCATTTTGAACAGACTTCAGCGCCCATAAAATTTCAGCTTGTGATACTTGATCATCGAATAACAATAGTTTATTAGGATCAACTAGTTGAATAGTATGTGTAGACGATGTGAAAGATGTTGTTGCCGATATTGAAAAGGTAAGTTGTGAATTATTCTTCAGAGCATTTAAATTATATTTGTGTTTTTCATTTTGCATGTGCTGTTCAACAGCTTTCCAGCCTTTGTTAGAACAGTCTAGATCACCAGTACGACATATTGTACAAATAAATGTTGTTTCCGATGAGCCTTGTTTCAGCCACATTTTTACTGAATTTCCATTACTATCCAATTTATTGAACCATGATTGATTGAGTTTTGTTTTATAGTCGGGCATTTAATAAATATAGGTGAAAATGACGCAAATGTTGCAGTGCGATTATAATATGTATATATATATATACTTGTGTCGCCTATTCAACACAACGGACGTCTTTTTTTCCACCACTAAACATTATCTTTTTTTTTGTCATTCCGCCGTCTTATAAATAAAGAAGAGCTTTTGGAAGAAAAGAGGAAAAAGAGGAGGAGTGGGATGCCAGTAGCTTTGATAGGTTAATATTGAAACATTTTCATTAACTGAAAAGTATATTTATTTGTGATATTTTTTATCCGTATAGTTCTCACCCAATCACGTCAATCATTTTTATGTCAGTAAATATTTCAAGACGACGTTCAATCATGTTTTGTGTTTCTTTCCACGTGGATTGGTTTTGTTAATCTGTGGTTTCATTTTTTGGTTTTTTAAGGATATTCTCTCTTCAGAGCAAAGCATATTTTAACATATAGCAATATATTTCCTTTGATACTTATTTTTGTAACTATTCTCCTCTTTCATCCTCTGCTTTCAATTTCCATAGTTTAATTCTATATCAATGAATCAAATTTTTGAGACGTTTTATTTAAATAATCATCGATTAAGAATCACAATATTTTTGTACGAGGAAAATATTCTTTTACATATTTAGGAATTCTATATTTTCCCTGTAAGCTTAAAGAACGTAATTTTGCACAATTGATTCGTGTTGTATTTCTTGTAAACTTTTGTGTTACTCTTCTCAGTACTTGATAGAGTACAAGAAGACAAACATTATTCGACAAACACGTTATTGTATGAAGTAGAAATTGTTCAAGATAATCTTCATGAGCTTCAATAAGATTCAGCATAGTAAGATGAGGATATTCGATGATTGGTAAATTTTGATTCTCATCTTCTGATTTTCTACATTGTTTATCACATTGAGGTTTCATATTAATTAACGTTAATTTTTTCAGAAATGGAAATGATTTCTGAATTCGAAGAAAAAATTCATGTTCAAAAGGTCGTTCATCAAATAATGATATAACAGAAACACATTTAAATAATCCACCTGGAAAATTATTGGTTATATTTTCGTAATGTTCCAATGTGTATGGATATGAATAAATATGACATTGACCTTGTTCAGTCCCGGAAAAATAATCAACACAAGAAATAACATGATTATCTTGAAAATCTTTGAATGTATGTTGAATATCTTCATTCGATGACAAATTAATTTCATTATTAAGCCGAATTGTTGAACGAATGTTAAATTGAAATTTGTTTAATCGTGCCATTTTATTTACTATGTTTTTCTTCAAATCATTTCCATCAACAAATGTATTCGCACCATAAACTAGAAAATATAAACCAAGTTTTTCTAAATTCAACATTCGATGTAGAAGTGGAACAATCAATTCATGATAACCACTCGTCTCGTCATTACAATATAGTGAAAAGTCCTTTAAATTAGGCAGATTTTCCTAAAAAAGAGAAAACATTCCCTTGATTGGAATAAGTTAGATATTGATGAAAATAATCTACCTTGTTGTTGATTGGTACCCATGAATAGAGAATCAAAGAAATATTAATATGAAGTGTACGAAGTTGACTGAAACGTCCATCAAGAAAATAAAGACAATCGGCGAAATGTCCCACACTGACATACAATTCTAAGAGATTCGAAGAGATTACACTTGGAGGTGAAATATTAAATGATATCATTTGATACCAAATTAAAGATGAGATGAAGTTTAAATATTGAAGATTAGTGAACATAGTCAAGATACTTGTAAATATAAACGTATTGATATCTTTTCGACGCCCTAGTTTTCCATTCATAGTAGTATTTATAATAAGTGATAAAATTTTATTTTTAAATAGACCAGTTAAAGCACTTTCACCTAAACATAAATACAAAAGTCTTGACAAACAAACTAATTATTTTTTTATATTAATTATATCGTAGCATCGATTCTTGTAGTTTTTTTAATTAATCCAATAAGATACAAATTTATTCTTATTCCAAATTTTATCATTGCTTTTCAGTCTAAGAATTTTTATGTGAAAGTTCAGATTTAAACATTTCAAATAAACAAATATTTTGAAAAAGAAATCTTATTTCAGATAGAAATATTCATATTCTTTGTCAAGTACTCTTCTTTTCATAAGGATTGAATTCTTATTTAGAATTTATATTCAAAAATAAAACTAATTTATCACAAATCGTATATTCATTCATCTACTAAACTATATCAAACGAGTTCTGCTACTCATATATATTTTCGAACAAAATGGTCAAAGTATTAAGCCGATATTTTACAACTCCTTCTCCCTTATTAGAGACCCTACCAATCGAGCTCACAAATCATTCACTATGCATCATCTCCTAGCAAGCGCGAACAACAAGCATCAAACTCCTTTTATATAATTGTCTGGCAATGGAAAAAGACACGCTCGGCACTAACGACAAGCTTTAGACTATTCTAGAACATTCCAAAGTTTTCCTTAAAGTTTAAATGGATAGAATACATTTAAGGATGATGGCGAAAAATCTCTTGATTTGCCAGTCATCATATAAACAAACGCAAAAACTATAAACTGATTAAGTTCTAACAAAAAATAGAGCACCAAATAAATTCTGTTCGAAATACAGAAAGTAAGACAGATTGTTTCTCTGACGATCGATTATCCTTGAAAAGCAACAATCGTCTATTGGAGATTTTTCCCTTGATGGATTTTCTATTAGTATAATAAAACTACAGACATGAATTCCACATTTGAGCCCCCATAGGACTGCAATAACAAGCTTTTTATATACTTGCTATGCGCTCTCAATTAAAACAATTCAAGCAAAATATCTTACCAGTAAAGAAATGTCTAGCTGTTTCTATATCAATATTATATAAACCAAGTCTATATAAATTAGAATAATTTGTAGTAAGAAGAATACGTTCCATAGATGATGATTCAAGATCAAGCCATTTGATTTTATCATGAATCGAAGGTAAAATTGGGCAACAAAATCGATCAAGCATTGAATCAGTTAATGGGTAGATGCAACCATCCAAAGAATGTCTCAGTAAGGTCAAATGATTAGTAAATATTGGATCATGTGCAACTGCATTAAGTCGTTGATTAACACCTGTTAAAGAATAGAGTAGCTCGGCTTTGCACATATTTTTAAAAATAATCAGAAGAATCTCATTAGGTAAATCATCCAATTGAACCATTGACTCCTTCATATTTGTTTTCACTTCTATATTTTATTTTCGAACTTAGAAATGTCATTATTTCTGTGCACATATTCATTTCAATTGTTTGACCGACATCGTCAATAAAAACAGTGACGCATTTTTCTTTAGTCTATATTGACTATGAATAAAGAAATGGCATTGTATTCTCTTTTTTTTCTGCAACATATTTCATATGATAGACATTTACACGATGTCTTTATTTAGAATGGATGGAAAAATGTAGAAAGGAAAAATGTCAAAAGGGAAAAATATCGAAAATAAAAATGTCGAAAACAAGAATATGAGGTGAAGATGAACATGTAAGATTGAAGGTAGAGTGAGGAAAATTTGTGCTTCAATATACTCTTGTTTTTAGCATTTCTATCCATCTACATTTCTATTATTTTTGTTTTCGACATTTTTCCCTTTCGATATTTGGGTGTGGGTGAGCATCATCTCTCCATTTACTTACGCCAACACCCACACCCACACCCACACTCTAGAGAATAAACGAGACAGAAATAGCTGCAAACAACAGGCTAACGAAAGCACAGCGATCGCTACGATCATGGAGATCTAAAAAAAGAAGAATGACTATAGAGAAATTAACAGTAAAAGTAAAAAATAATGATGCGTTATCGATCTATCGATGGCCAATTATATTTGTTAGGCATCATTATGAGGAAAAAGAAATGATGTTATTACTTTAACGGATATCGATTTTCACGCCTGGCAATGATGACGAAACTTCTGTGTCCGCCACATAAAAATACACAATACCACACCATCATTTTCTTCTGTTACAAAGAAAAAAAAATGATGAATATGAAATCTTTGCCCAACGAACTCTTACTGGAGCTATTCGAGTTTCTTAACACTATTCATCTTCTTTGTGCCTTTCATTGTATCAACTCCTGCTTCGAAACATTTCTCTTCGTTTATTTTCGAGACTATGACTATCATTTCGATTTGCGATCAATATCGAAATGTGACGTTGACCTAGTGTGTCGGCAATATCTCCCATTGATTGTCGATCGAATCGTTTCACTTCATCACTTTGATGACGATGAGACTCTAAACACATTTGATCATCTTGTTTCTTATGGTTTTACTCTCGATCGAATCATTCATCTACAGTCGTTCTCTTGCACATTCCTCCACGAATACCAAATCAACACAATCGCAACAACAGCTTACTAGGGTGTGGATGTGAATGAGAGTGTAGAACAGATTCGCACTCACACCCACATCCTCAAAATAACATAAGCTCACCAAATGCAGATAATTCTCCCTTTTTTGTATGGACTCGTTTTTGATCATGTTTTTTCTTTAATTGATTTCAAGATATTAGGAATTTTCATGGTTTTCCTTAATAGAATTAATATCCTCACTAACACTATTATGAAACTTAGAAATAAACAGTACAAAATAACAAACATAAATCTGAAAAAGCCTGCATGTGTTAATCGGAAATAGAATGAGAAATATCCATTATTAACAAGAATAGCATCAATAATAATTATTTTAAAATGAATCTCATTCCAATACATAGACACACACATGACCTTATTTTCTTTCACTTATCGAACTCTTACCAAAATCGCACATTTCAGTCAAACTGAACACTATGTATGTTTGAAGGCGAAAAAAAAAGAATTCTATTATGCTTAGTTCTGTTAATCATTATTCACATAGAGGAAATTCGATCAGCTCCTGAGAAAAAAAAATTAAATATCGACCCATTGATAATCAGTAAATTTCTACAACAAAATAATTAGAATCTCTTTTTTTGTTGCATACGATTAGTTGATGATTTTCAATCTGTAAAAATAAATAATAATGAATTCCATGTATTCCTTTTTACATAGAAAAACAAACTCTGGTAATGTTTTACTCTTAGAATACAACAAGAGACGAAATTGAAAATACAAATATATACACAAGTATTAGATAGGAGATTAATTGCTCTTGTTCTTATTATATCAATATCCTGTTTAAGCAAAAATTTAAGAATAATAACAAAATTCTCAAAAAAAAAGAGAACAAAAACACTTTTAAAAATACAAACTATTATTTTGCTTTTATATGATATTGAAAAATAGCTGCTTTTATATCAAATATTATTTTATGATTTCGGGTAGATGCAAAACCTATCCGACAGTAACTAGTTAACTGTGATCTGGTAAAAGAAAAAACATTTCTTTGTTAAATGTAAATTCTAATAAATGCATCGATTTCTCGTCGATATATTGAACACAATCGCAATGAATGACCACATGCAACACATGTTGCTACGTGACCACATGGTATACAAGCTAATTGTTTTTCTTCTGTCAGACATAGAACACAAAGATTCGATGATTCTGAATTAGTTGATTGACTTCGATTATTGATAGTAGTTATTTGTTTATTTGTTTGGGTTTCACATTCATTTTTATTGCTTGTTGATTTTGATGTAGAGATAATAGAAGATTGAGAAGATGTAGATTCATTTGCTAATGATTGCGATGATGCAATTATATTAACATCTGTACGATTTTGTACGGATTGAGTTGCATTAGATATAGTTGATGTTTGTTCATGCATTCCTCTCTCTAGAAAATAAGAACATAAAAATGGGAAATATACCTATGACAAATTTACCATTGTGTTCTCGAATTTGTTTCATTTTTATACTTGGTATAACAACATTTTCTTTTTTACCATCAATATGTTCGATTTGTTTTTGAAGAATTAAACAAGCAACATACAAATCACAGTTGGATACAAAGTCATCATCTGAATAAAATATTCAAAAAAGAAATAAATACGTAAGACAATATTTTATTGATTAACGTACGTTTTATTCGTAATTGATCTTCCCAACATCGTTTAATAATAGATAATTTAAAATTTTGATCTAATAAACGTTGTGACATCGATAAGTCTAATCTTGCGGCGACGAGTCTGGATAAAGTACTTTATATCTGGTATTAATAATTGTCCACTATATGTTGTTACATTAGTATTTACCAGATCATTTGAGCCTGTTCTTTCTTTCAATTCATCAGCTCTAGCACGTTCTACCAAAGAAAAACAATGAATCAATTTTAACTAAAAGTTTATAATTTTTCCAAAACTTACCTTGTTGTATTCTTTTAGATTCTTGAATTTTACGATATAATTCTTCACCACACAATTGTTTAGCATATCCACAATATGGAAACCAACGAGCATGTTCAATCATTGGATTATCACTTGAACCCCAATTTTGTAATGATCCATTACAATAAAAGCAAGTAACAATGGTTTCTGCACCTGTAACGAAAAATCCTGCTCGAACCAAATCATTCATCAATGGTAAATCTTTATTTGGCCAAGTAGTGAATGATGCATAACGTTTTGGTATTTCGAAATAAGCAGGATTACACGATGCTCTAAATACAATGTTACTAGTAGGTCGTAATGAGCTGAGATTATTTGATATCGACGAAAGAATCCCTGTTGTTGTTGTCGGTGAATTTTCGTTGACAATAATTATTGATGAAGCTATAGGATGCATCAATCTTGTTTTGACATATATACAATTAGGTGATAGTATTTTATGTAATTTACATGGATCATCTGTATGTGGTGTCCCTTGTTGACAAATACGATTACAATAGATACATATTACTCGATCATCAACATTGCAATTAAAAAATCCAGCTTCAATCATTTGTGTACTTGATGGAACAGTACGATGTGGCCAATGAGAAAATGTACGTCTTCGCACTTGTTGAAGTGAATCACTTTCAAGTAAAGTATTTGATACAGATTGGAAATCCATTTTTTCTATTGTTTGACGTTTAGAAGCATTTTCTTCTACAGTTAGAGTGTGGGTGGGTGTGGTGTGGGTGTGGGTGTGGGTGTGTGGGTGTGGGTGTGGGTGTGTGGGTGTAGAGGGTGTGGGTGTGTGGGTGTGGATGTGGATGGTGTAGGTGTGGGTGTGTGGGTGTGAGTATAGTCTTCCAATTATTAACTTCCACACCCACACTCACATGCACACCCACACCCATACCCACACCCTGTTTGATAATTCTCTATTGTATGTACTACCCATGATAAAATACAAGAAAAGAATAATTTTGAATTTCGACATGTTCAACTTAACATCTCGTAGATTTCCTTTTACTATAAATTGTCGGAAGAAATTAACTTAAGTCATGCTTCTTTTCATTCATTTGGTGTACTCTAATAAACTACAAATAAAATGAATTAGAAATGAAACTTCAGTATGTGACTCAGTTTTGATAATAAACTCCTGTTTTCTTTTTTATTTTAGCTATTCAATTAAGTTCGATTTGTGTCGCAGAATAAATTCATTAATGAAATACCATGTGAACTTAGCTGTTTTGATGCTCTAATGGAAGACAACAAGTATGTAATGAGAAAAAAATAAAAATATACTGAGTGAAACAATGATTATAGCATCTAGTATTTTGAAAATAACTCAGCACAGATCAATTGTTACTACTTTATCAGACCGATAGTAACCCGTTATTTAATCATCAAAACTAGCGTCTACAACACGATGGAGCAACAACACATACTGATGAAAGATTCCAAGAATTATGCAAAAAGAACTTCAAGTCATTTATACTTAAAGATCGTTGACCTTCTTACTCATCAGACTTGAGCCCGTTATATTATTCTATCTCAGATAATATCAATAAAAACAATAATTATCACAAGGCTAAAACACGAGAAAATTTATAGAATGAAATTAAAAAACATGCTAAAAAATTGATGCCCGTTATATTCGCAATGTGATAGGCTGTTTTCTCCAAAGAGTTCGTACAGTTGAACAAAATAATAGCCACCATATTTTTCATGAACATTCATGACTTTTATGTTATTTTGTTTCAATTGTTTTTGGAAAGTAAATGATAATATCACGAAAAGTTTTGTCTGAATTCAGAAGAAGCCTATTTTTTAACCTTAGTTTCATTTTTACTTCTACCAGAATAATACGACATTTCACCATTGCATATTGCCTGACTTTTAGCCTTAAAAAAATGATCAAACTAACTCAATAGGGTTTCTCTTTGTCATTCCTGTAGAGATTTTTACGGCACATAATTTCAAAAAAACAAAAAACAATCAAGATTACATGATTTATCTATACTGAGATATTTGAAAAGTACTAGTTGTTGCAATCATTATGCCTCATTCGGTAGTTTATGGATTCTTTGCGTGTGTAAATTGGAAAACCTTTTGATAATCCTCGTGAGTTGTTTATTTCAGAAGATTTTATATAATCATATGAAAAAATTGTAGATACAGATTTAAAAAAAGCTTCTTTTCTCTCTTTCAAATACTGACAAATGTTTCTTATGTCTTAGAATATGTAGAAAAAGAGGCAAACAATAAAGGATAAATGAAAAAATCAGACATATCCATCTTACTGAAACGATGACATGTTACAATGAAAAATTTCTTTCCATCACAGGAGAGCAAGTCACCAAGATTACACTAATGTTTTTCATTGTGTAGGTTGATTTTTTATGTTTAGTTGCCATGCAAGTCAATGTGCTGTAGTTTATTTTTATGATATGTTGACGGATGCATTCTTTTATCAATTTGAAGACAAATATTGTTTTTTTCTTTAAATACAATCATCATTAGTAAACACTATAATATAATGATTGTTTCTTAGTTTCAAATATGAAACACTGGAACTTTCGAAGTGATTACTGTTAGCGAAATAACTATTTTAAGAATATTCGAAGAATTTTCAACATCAATCATGATATAAATCAATTGAATAAATATTAATACTAGAATATCAACTTCATGGCTACGTCGGATATTGATGACTGACGACAAATGAAATCTACGCAAAGCATCATAAAAAATAAAATATATTCATACAATACATTTCAATTTTATTCCAAATATTCATGTAGGTGTTTGGTTAAACGACATTTAGAAATATACGTCTATACTTCAATATAACATCCATAAATGATTGTGCAAATTTAAAAAGAGTAATCATAACAAAAGTCTGTGACATATCAACAAAGAAAATTAAGATACAATAATGATATTTTGGTGGATTCGTTATGAACGATATGATAGCAAAGATATAATAAGGTAAACTAATTATTATAAGGAAAATAATAATAATAATAACAACAATACGTTTAACTATTACTAGTTCACGTCGGACATGGAAAAATAGTTTCAGTTGATGTTACAAGAAGAGCAATTTGACAAATATATCGAAGAAGCTGTAAATAGATGAGCATGACGATTGATACCAAAATCATATACGTAAGCAACATATTATAGAAAATGGATACAAAAATTCGAAAACGTAATATACCTACTTGATTGTCCGCATTATAAATTATATCATCAGTAAATAGCCATGAAAAAAGAAATCCGACGAAAAATATCTATGAAAAACAAATAAAAAAAAATTGAAATTGTGTCGATTGCTATGAGATGCGAGTCGGATAGATTATAACTATATATCGTTATATAGCTTGTATTGTAAATGAATAGAATAATAATACTGTTCCTACATAACCTCGAAAAGCACACAATGAATCTTGAAATACAATTTGTTTTCTGTCATTTTTTAATATGAATAAAGCAACACTCAACATATTAGAGTTGTAGATAATTTCTACAAGACATGAATTATAATCAAGCATCATTGGTACCGTTTGACATGCTTTATTTAACGCCACAATAACCAAAAAGACAAGAGCAAGAAGAATTGTCAAGATCAAAGATAAAATCATTAAAATACTCATGACGATATGTCATGATTCGAAATCTTTGATTGTTGAGTTATTGACCGTACTCATCAGTAAATAGGAGAAAAAAAATTTAAATGAAATATAGAGATATGTCCGAAGTTAAACCAAAAGTGGTAATGAAATGAATAAATCAGCTGTAAAGCAAGCTATGTGTTTTGGCGTCCTAGGGTAGTAGAATATAAAGAGAATTCTTCGTTTATCCTTGGTCATAATTCTTTTTAATTTCCATATTATTTCTTTTTCACAGGATTGCGAGTAGGTGACTAATCATGTCATACACATTGTTGTTTCCTTATTATTTTATTTTGCTTGAATCATTATTTTTATTCTCTCGATGATCCTACATTTTTCAATAATATAGCAAGAAATTACAGCGATACTAAAATCTAAACCAAGCAAATTTCTATTAATTTCATGGTGAGATCTTTAATGATTGTGCACTTGATTTTATTATTAAAACACCATTAGACCTATGTGATCTTTTCAGAGATAATTTTCTTTTCAAGTCTAGTCATGAAACTTTTTCATTAGGAAATTTAAATAACAAAAATCAGAATCATTGCTAAGATTTCTACTAGTAATGAATTACATTAATTAATCATAGTGATGTAAAAACAGTGAAGATATGTAAAAAGATTGTGAATGATAATGTAGATGTAAATCAATTACCAGATTAAGTTTGTATTTATTGGTATTTTTCACTTGATGAATATAGTCTTATATTTTTTGAGCAAATTGTTTAACTATTCGAACATGAATACTACATCTTTCTTTAGTCATATATTCGTCTTCAAAGAACATATGCAAAGTATTGATTGATCAAAGCAGAGATTTTATCTCATTGAAAGGACAGTTATGATTTTACTTTTTTCTATTAAACAATTCAACTATTGAAATATGTTTATGTAAATAACAGAACAAAAATTTAAATCAATGCAATTAGAATTGAACCACATATTGTTTCCAATTTTTTCGAATATGTTTGTTTATTTGATTGATTAATTTGATATAGAGATAATGTAAAAGCATCTGTGTTAAATTTATTTGTATATTGAAGTTTTAATGAAGCAATCACTTCGTATGCATTACATAATGATTCATAAGCATATCAATTTACATTTGGTCGTATGGATTGGGTGTGGATGTGGGTCTTCTCTTCACTCATATTTACACCTTCAGTTGCGTGCCTNTGAATTTTATGGGATTTTTCGGTTTTCTTTATAAATCAGAATGAAATTGATTTGTTTGATACAGTTTCACCAGTACATGCTACTCACTTATCAACAATTCAACCAACAGTTTCTACTCCATTACAGCAGATTCAACAAGGCAATTTAGTTTTATTTGAAACAACTTCAAATGGTCTCTTAGGATTATCTTTATCTAGTGTAAAATCAATTCGAGGTACATCACTTAAGACAACATATCAACGTAAAGTCTTCAAAAATTGTTTATCAATTGAATATAAAAATGAATCAGGATTAAATGATACAGGTCTAATGAAATATCTTACATTTGGTATTACATGGGCACCCTCATACAAGTAAAATCAATAAAACATAATCAACTTATCATTAATTTATTTATTTATTTTTTTTTATTAATTTTAGTTTGGTACTTTTATCATCAGAAGATTCTTCTATAAAACGACTTCGTCTTTCATCAAAAGCTGTTATTCTAAATGATATTGAAAATATGAATGTTGATAATTTATTTTGTATTGTTGGATTTCCAAATATATCAAAATTTGCTTCAGTTATTGATCCTATAATTAGTGGAGAAGATGTTAAAGCATTTCTTGATCGATTAAAACAATGTGAAATTGAAAGTTCAAGATCACATTATTATAACAATGCAAATGTTACATCAAATTCCGTAATGATGCAACCAATGGTTATGCCAATATCATCACGTGATAATAATGGTCCTAGTGATAGTCAACAAGATGCAAATGTTGATGATCTTCATTTATATGAATTTAAAAATGTTTTATTACAAAAAAAAGAACGTCTTATGTTACCAATATTCGATATTGAAATACCTTATAAAGATGTTTATCATTGTAAAATTGATGGATCACAATCAGAAAATAACTATAACGGATACGATGAAAAAAAAGAGTTTGAAGAAGTATAATTTAATTTAATATTTTTTTTTATTATTAATCAATATTTTCTTAGATTTGGCATAGTGTTGAATTTGAAAATATATCTAATTTTGTTTGGACAACAGCACCAATTGTTATTACAAAAGGTCAATTAGAACAACAATTTATTGGTCAAGATAAATTAACATATACATTGAAAGGATCAACAACTTTTGTTAATTTAACCAAAGCTCTTGATGTTCGAGTACAATTAGATGAAAAAGTATCAACTACTACAAATTCACCACGATTTACTCTTTTTCGTGTTCATTATCAAACAGATCAAATTGATGGAAAAATATTAGTAATGAATTATAAATCAGAAGAAGTAGTTGTTGTTATTACAGCAACATTAATAGGAAAAATTAGTAATTATTCTATAGCACCAAAAAAAGATGCAGTTAAAGCTGATAACAATGTTGCTAATCAACGACATGATATACGATGGGAAGTTAATGTTAAACCGAAACAAACACTCGAAATAAAATATGTTAGATCATATAATAAAAGAGTATGATGAATTTTTAAACAAATTTTATCATGCAAATAAATAAATAAATAAATATCATATCGATTCAAAGATCGAATTAAAGAAAAAGAAATTAATGCTTTCAGAGATACAGCGAAGAAAATTAACTAAAATCAACAACTTATACGTCTTACTATATATTGAAGAATTTTTTATTGTTATTGTAAGTCGTTTGTTAATTAAAGATGTATAATGTATCATATCAAACGTTGTTTATTATTGTTTCTAAATGATCAACTGTTAATCGGATCATTTGCAATATTTGCATCTATCATCTCCCATATCCTCACTGTTACTTTCATCCTTTCCGTCTTAAGATTTTGATTTCACATAGACATAAAAATCAGGATTTCTATTAGTATTCTAAACATTCGAAAAAAATAGATTCTGCAAAAGTTTGGTTGTTCGCTTTAAATACCTTGGATGAGATCCGAATATGTATGAAGGATCATAACTCAAGAAGTCAAATCTTAATGGTGCTTCCTCATGCGTCAATTCCATCAATTTGACATTGACATAGACCTCTTTGAAGTTTAGCGTTATCATATGTAAAAGCAATAGGAACATTGTTCTATCTTGGAAAAAACTATACATATTGTTATTATAATATCATTTTTTTTCTCTTTTTTTTATTTATAATTAATACTTTGTTCACAATTGAAATAGCTTTGACATATAATCGTTCAAAGGTATACATTAACTGAAAAAAATGAAAAGTATATTAATTTCTAGAATTTTCTTTTATCCAGATAGTTCTCATCCAATAAAATATATCATTTTTATGCCATAAAATCTTTGTAGATAACGTTGAATCATATTTTATGTTTCTTTCGGTATGGATCAACGTTCTCCATCTGTGGTTTTATGCTTTAGTTTTTTCTGAAGAATACCTGCTAAGAGATAAGCAAATTTTCACCTGTAACAATATATTTTCTTTGATATATATTTTTGGAACTATTATCCTTCTTCATTCTCGCTGCTGTCCATTTATATGCTTTAATTCTATTTTTATATCAATCTAGTTTTCAAAAGTATTATTTAAATAATCATTCAAAATAATTATAATATTTTTGTATGAGGAAAATATTGTTTTACATATTTAGGGATTCTATATTTACCCTGTACACCTCCTAAACAACGCAATTTTGCACAATTGATTCGTCTTGCATTTCTTGTAAACTTTTCTGTTACTCTTCTCAGTGGTTGATACAGCATAGTAAGAAAAACATTATTCGTCAAACATGTTTTCGTATCAATTAGAAATTGTTCAATATAATCTTCATGAGCTTCAATAAGATCAAGCTTAGTAAGATGAGGACATTCAATGATTGATAAATCTTGATTGTCATCTTCTGATTTTTTTTATATCGTTTACCTTTTTGAGGTTTCATGTTAATTAAAGTTAATTTTTTCATACATGAAAATGATTGAGCAATTAGAAGAAAAAATTCATGTTCAAAAGGTTGTTCATCAAATAATGACATTACACAAACAAATCTAAAGAATCCACCTGAAAAATTATTCGTTATGTTCTTGTAAAGTTTCAGTGTATATGGATATGAATAAATATGACATTGACTTCGTTCAGCCTCAAAAAAATGATCAACACAATAAATATTATGATTATTTTGAAAATCTTTGAATGTACATTGAATATATTCATTTGATGGTAAATTAATTTGATTATGAATACGAATATTTGAACAAATGTTAAATAGAAATAGGTTTAATCGTAACATATTATTGATAATATTTTTCTTCAAATCATTACCATCAACAAATGTGTTCTTGTCATGAACTATAAGATATAAACTAAGTTTTTCTAAATTCAACATTCGATGTAGAAGTAGAACAATTAGTTCATGATAAACATTCATGTTTTTATCACAATATAGCGAAAAGCATTTTAAATTAGGCAGATTTTCCTACAAAAAGTGAACAAATTCGATTTTATTTGGATAAATTAGATATTGGTCAAAATAATATACCGTATTATTGATTGTTAGTCGTGAAGAGCAAATGAAAGAAATATTAACATGAAGTGTATGAAGTTGATTGAAACGTCCATCAAGCAAATAAAGACAATCGATGAAATATTTCACAGTGACATGTAGTTCTAAGAGAGTTACAGAGATAACACTTAGAGGTGGAATACTAAACGATAACTGTGGATACCAATTTGAAGATCGACCGAAGTTTAAACCTCGTAGGTTGATAAACATAGTAAAAATATTTGTAAATATAAATGTATTTACAACTTCTCTAAAAGCTTGTTTGTTATCTTCTCTAATATGAATAATAAGTGAAATATAACGAATATTTTCAAAAAAAAATCCCATTTCGGATATAAATATTCATATTTTTTGTGAAGTAGCATTTTTTTTTTATAAGAATTGTATTCTCATTCAAAATTTATGTTCAAAGATAAATTAGAGATAAAACTAATTTATCACAAATAGTATATTGAATGATCTACTCCATTATATAAAATGAGTGCTGCTATTTTTTTGTCATACTTATATATATTTTAGAAGAAAATGGTGAAAATATTAAGCCGAGATTTTGCGACCCTCCTCCCTTATTATCAGACCTTAGCAACCGAGCTCATAAATGATTCAATAGACATGGTCTCCTAGTAACCGATGACAACAAGCATGAAATGCTTTTTATATAGCTCGGTACGAACGGAAAAGGATATTGATCGGCATTAACAACAAGGCTTAGACTATTCTAGAACATTCTGAAGCCTCTTCTTAAAATTTAAATGGATGGAATACATTTTTTTCAATGTTTTAAATGGCGCAGCTTCAATTTTTAGGCTGATAATTGCCTTTATAGTAGATATCAACAATTATGGCTGATAATGTATTGATTTACCAGTCATCATATAACCAACATAAAAAGGTATACACTGATCAAGTTCTAACAAAAAAATAGAGTGCCTGAAAAAAAAAGTAAAACAAAAAACAATTTCTGTTCGAAATGCAGAAAATAAGATAGATCGTTTCTCTGACAATCAGTTATCCTTGGAAAGCAACTGTTGTCTATAAGAGATTTTTCACTTGAAGTATTTTTGTATTTGTATAATAAAACTAAGGACATATGAATTCCAGTATTTAGCTTCAAAGAGACTACGATGACAAGCATTTTTTTTATATACTTCTTATTTATTCTGAATTAAAATAATCGAAGTTAAAATATCTTAACAGTAAAGACATGTCTAGTTGTTTCGACGTCAATATTATATAAAGTAAGTCCATATAAATTAGGATAATTAGTAGCAAGAAGAAAAAGATTTCATAGATGATGATTCAAGATAAAGCCATTTGATTTTATGGTGAATTTTAGGTAAAATTTGTAAACAAAATCGATCAAGCATTGAATCAGTTGATGGGTAAATGAAACCATCCGCATGCCTCAGTAAGGCCAAATGATTAGTAAAAATTGAATTATGTGCAATTATATTAAATCGTTGATTAACACCTATTAAAAAATAGAGTACTTCACTTTTGCACATATCTTTAAGAATAATCATAAGAATCTCATCAGATAAATCATTCAATTGAACCACTGAATGTTCCATATTTATTTTCACTTCTATATAATGTTTTTTGGAACTTAGAAATGTCATTATTTATATGCGCATATTCATTTCATCTCTGTTTGTCTGATATCGTTAATGAAAATAATGATGCATTTTTCTAGAATCTAAATTGACTATGAGTGAGCGAATGAATAAAAAGATGGCATTATATTTTTTTCTTTTTTTTTGTTTCAACATATGTCGTATGAGAAAGAGAATATTGATCGAGACACTAATTGGTCGATACTAACATTGCTCGAATATTTTGTAATAAAAGTACGAAAACGTTTTTTTTTAACCGAAGGTTGACTCCAACTGCAATGATGACATTGGCGTTTATTTTTTCAAAACATGCGATGTAAAAAAAAAACAAAGAAATCCGATTGTAATCGATTATTAGATTGTTAATCGATTTTTATCGTAATGATCACAAAAACCGCATTTTTTCTCGAGTTCTAATTTAGAAATTCAAAGTTTTAATTGTTTCTCGAACTTTTCGGCTCAACAAAGGATAAGTGTAACATCAGATCAACCTTTGATACATATGCCACGCTTCAAGATACAATATAAATTGATACTTACTCATTCTTTGGCCATCGCAGTTAAAATGAATTAAAGATCAAATAATTAGATTAAAATAATGTCATTTAAATCGATTTTTAATCAGCAAAAAGTCGATTAAAATCTGTTTTTTTTTCGTTTTTTTTACATTAGACTAATATTAGACGAAATTAATGATTTAAATAAATAAGTTAGAGAAATACAAAAAAGAATAGCGGTTTAGAAATTATGAGCAAGTCATTCTATTTGCTATGGTAACGCGTTGTCTCTTGAGGATGCGAGTGAAGACGAGAATGTAGGCACATTCTAAAGATAGACAACGGTACTACAGCGGTAAGAAGGATTTGTTTATACTTTTTAAGCTCTTTTGTTTTTTTTCTATCTGTTTAACTTATTTGTTTGAATTATTTGTTTCCTGTAATATTAGTGTATTTATAATATAATTCCAGTCAACTTCGCCTACACACATGTATGTTCGAACTTCTGTTTAAAAAAAGCTTATTTCTTTTATTACAAAATTCTCGATCAATTTTCGTAGACCCATTTCCTATGATAGACATTGAGAGAATCTGTTTATTTATATTGTAATACATATAATGATATTATTTATATCTGACAGAAATTGCTTTTGTGAAAATTGAAAATCATTTTATCTAAATAAAATGATATTTAAGAACAGTGTTGATATTAATTTCATATGTTTTAAATCAGATTTGATTGTTCTTACAACTACGAGAAATAAAAATCAAATAAATAATTTTCCTAATTCGACTTGTTCTAAAATAAAATATATGAAAGTCTATATTCATTTTAACCCTTTCTTGCACGTGACGAAACCTGGTCGTTTGGAAGAGTAATTTGTTTTTAGAAAGGAAAAGTGTTTATCATCAAAATGGAAAGCAAAAGTTCACGAAAGAGAAGATGAATATTTAACAAAATCATATGTTTCAATAGAGTGATACCCAAGCAATATACTGACCTACTTACGTTTCCTTTTCGGGATGTAGGTGGAAGTGGGTGTTGGGTGATGATTTGATTGTTGCTTGATGTAGATGTTTTCTCTTCATTCAAACTCGCATCCACACATACATCCTAATCTATTAGTCTTTTGTAGTATAATCAAAGTAAATGATTTAATCTCATTCTCTATTTTATTTTCAATATTGTTTGTATGTCAACTTTCTCATTCTATCAAGTTATAAACAGTTTGTTAGTGTGATAAACAACAGTAATACATTATTTCAGTAAATTGGGACTTATGATTCATGATGAATCAAGATTAAATCTAAAACTTTTCTCAGATCGTATTTAAGACACAAAATCGTACTGATCTGGGTTTATCACGATCGGTATTAGTCTGAAACCCATACCGATATTGGACTGACGAGTTATTGTACTATTGCATCTGTGAATAATGGTATTTGACGTAGTTAACTTTCAACAAAGTTTCATTACACATCCTCTATGAGATAATGCGAGAAAGTGAACATAAATAAGAACCGGTGTTAATGACTGTTTTATCAACAACCGAAATTTAGTTCATTTGATAAAATTTATCAAAATATAGCTTGTCATTTAGAAAAGTTTATTTTCGTATAAAAATTCAATGCCATTCAGTATTCCAAATTTCTTATCTTAGACCAAGTTGCTAGATTAACGAAAACACTAATGCGCTAGTTTATTACTTAAATCTAAAAAAAAATTGCACGAAACAATTCGTTCTTGCTGGAATAAAAAGATTATCAACATGAAATGTTATTAGAAATTATTTTTAAGTTTGATCTTGATCTGGTTTTCTAAAGAAAAAAACACAAAATATCAGTAATATATGTAAAAAAGATTAAAAAACATCCAACTTACAATTC